CCAACTGACAGAACGCAGTGGACTAAGGACACGGCCATCCAAATGTTTAAGTATTGGTGTCGACAAATAGAGGACTAACCTATTAAACACACCAACCACAGTAAGGATAGCAGGGATAAGCCAACCATGTTGGGTTCAAGGGTACCTGGAGAATACTTACCTTTGCATGAGATAATGGATTTAATATATTAATATTACTAATATAAGAATTTCCTTTCCTTAGAAGTGCCACTTACTTTACAGGTATATAAACTAACCTATAGAGGTGTGATTAGGTGTATATATATGTATATGTGTATGTGTAGATGAATATGTATATATACGTATTATTAATATTGCTGGTTACCATATAACCACATGGTTGGCATTATAGATATATAGTATCATGGGGACTTAATACATAGGGGGAGTGTTTATCTGCTTTTTTTAGGATCTGCAGGACCAAGAGAAAACAATAAAGTACATTTGAAAACCTATCTGGTGGGCATTCGTACAGAGTCTCTCTTCAAGTTGCATCACTACCAGTTTCCTGCTCTGAACATTTCTCTCTGCATCCTCAATCTATAACTGCTTATCATACCCCTGACACTAACCATACCCTAACCTTAACCAGTGGACGGTAGGCCCTAACCCCCAACTCGAACCCTGTCCCTAACCTTAAGACTCTAGACAGCCAGCCCTAACCCCTAACCCCTGACTCTTACCCTGATCCCTAACCCTAAACTTTGGACACTGGGCTAACCCCTAATGTCTAATTCTAACCCTAATCCCTTACCTCAACCCTGGACTTTAGACAGTGAGCCCTAACCCCTAACCCTCGACCTTTACCCTGACCCCTAACCTTCAGCTTTGACTTTACACGATAGTTTCTGACCCTTAATCCTGGACTTTGCAACCTCTCTGCCATAACCCTTTACCTCTACCTACATTCTAACCCTAACCCTCAGTCTTAACCCTAATTTTCATTCTTCACCATTATATTTACTTCTTCTCTTCTGCCTTCCTTGGATGCAGGTAACTGGGCTTTCCCAGTGGTCCTTGATTAGTTTATTTGGGTAATATAATGAACTGGATATGACCTGCCTTCTTTACTGTGGACACAACTGAAAGAAACATGAGTATTAAACAACAATGGGTCACTTAATAATACTTTAATTTAGGTTTCCCTGCTGGGTTTACCATCCTTGACAGTTCTGATGCCTCGGGTATACAGGGTGGGGAAGGAATGATATTCCACCTTGGAACATAGAGGGCAGACATTAGAAGTTCTTAAAAGGTTTTAAACTAAAATATTGAACCCCAAAGGGGACATATACTTACCGGGGACCTCTCTGTCTTCAGAACCTTTTATGTCTTTATCTAAACTGGTTAGAACATAATTTTAAACCCATTTATGGGAAATTATACTTACCAGGAATCTTCCTTACCGCTGTCATCCTTGTCGCCGCCGCCGCCGTCCTCGCCGTCTTCGTCGTCTCCGCCGCTCCTAGAAAAGAAAAAGATAAAGAATTAAATATGGGTTAGTAAGGCTATATTGCCCATGAACCCATTTAGAAGGGTAGTTTACTTACCAGACCGCCCTTACCTCCGCCGACTCCGCCTTGGCCGCCGCCTATATTAGGGCCAAGTACATCCCTATCAGGAT